TATCGAGGCACTCATGCAGCTGGCCCTCCATCCCATCGGCGTGCCCCGGCACCCCATCCCCATGAACGCGACTCTCTTCCAGAAGCCGTCGGGCGGAACATACTCCTCCCTGTCCGGGGTCCCGTCCGTCTCGGGTAAGCGGTCGCCGCCGCCCGAGGGAGAGAGGGCCACAAAGCGGCGCAGAAAGTCGACCAAGGCGGACGATATCCCCGCCGCGACGCAGGGCCACGACGTCGACGGCCACATGATGCAGGGCGACGTCGACCTGGTCGGCATGGACGTCTTGGTCCGCTCGCGCGTCTCGGCCGCCAAGGCCATGGGCCTCATCATGTCGCTGGTGCCCGCCTCGAGCCGAGCCTCGTACGACAGCGGCATCCTGCAGGGTTTGTCTTCTCCCTTCGCGTCGACGCAGCTTTCGGCCGCCATGATCATCGACGAGTACGCAAAGAACTGCAAGGAAGAGAAGGAAGCCGTACGGTTTGTGGAGCCCCTGCAGAACATTATCGATCAACCTCGGCCGTCGCACTACCGCGACTTGGTGAGCTACGTCCAGCGCGTGCGCTCGCAGTCGCAGCAGCTTCTCAATCTCTTCCGTGACCACGGCAAGGTCTCCCAGAACAAGCTGCCCACTCTCGCCGTCGTGGTTCAAGGCGAACCGGAGGCCGGCCCCGGCGCCTTCTCGGTCGCCACCGCCGAGAAGGTCGTCAGCGATGACTTTGATCGGCTCAAGAAGGCCATGGCGCCTGGCCAGCGGTTGATCGCCCTTCCGCAACTCAATGAGGCTCGAGACGCAACAGTGTTCGTCATTGACGAGGCGAAGGCGGCCAAGGAGGCCCGCGATTCCCGCGTCCGTGCCGCCGCTGCCTGTGCCTTGATCGGCATCAAGATCCTTCCCAAGAAGCCAAGCCCTCTGATCAAGGCCATCATGGACAGCGTCAAGGCTGAGGAGAACCAAGAGCTGCAGGGCCGCTCGGCTGCGACGATTGCGCGCCTCGTGGAGCTCTTCACCGAATTTGGCCGCCGGGCCCCGGCCGATAAGGTGGTCTCGAACCTGGTCAAGTTCTCGTGCGTCGAGGTCGCAGAGACCCCCGAGTTCCCGAACCACGCGCTCAAAACCAACGTCATCCTCTCGATGCAGAAGGAGGAAGACCGCGTCGACCACGCCGACGCCGCAAAGTTTGCCAGAGAGGCGCGGGCGGCCCGCATCACTCGCCGTGGCGCCAAGGAAGCGCTTGAGATATTGTCCCGGACCTTTGGCGCTGATCTCCTGGATCGTGTCCCGAGCCTGCGGGCGTTCATGGAGGAGCCGCTGGTGAAGGCCTTTACGGGCGACTTGCCGGTGGAGGCCAGAGACCCCGAGCAGACGTTTGGGCAGGAGATTGTCGACGCCATGTCGGTCATCCGGACCATGACCCCGACGCTGCACCCGTCGCTCCACCCTTTCGTGATGCGCCAGGTGCCCCTGGTGATCAAGGCGCTTCGGTCCGAATTGTCGGTCTTCCGCTACATGGCGGCCAAGTGCATGGCCACCATTTGCAGCGTCATCACGGTCGAGGGCATGACCGCCTTGGTGGAGAAGGTCCTGCCGTCCATCAGCAACCCGGTCGATCTCAGCTTCCGCCAGGGCGCGATTGAGGTCATATATCACCTCATCGCCGTCATGGGCGATGCCATCTTGCCGTATGTCATCTTCCTGATCGTGCCCGTGCTGGGTCGGATGAGCGACTCGGACAACGAGATCCGACTCATTGCGACCACGTCGTTCGCCACCCTGGTCAAGCTGGTTCCGCTTGAGGCCGGCATCCCCGATCCCCCGGGCCTCTCGGAGGAGTTGCTAAAGGGCCGCGACCGCGAGCGCACTTTTATCGGCCAGCTCTTGGACCCGAAGAAGGTCGAGCCGTTCCAGATCCCCGTCGCCATCAAGGCGGAACTTCGCTCGTACCAGCAGGACGGTGTCAACTGGCTCAATTTCCTCAACAAGTATCACCTGCATGGCATCCTCTGCGACGACATGGGCCTCGGCAAGACCCTCCAGACGATCTGCATTGTGGCGAGCGACCATCACCAGCGCGCCGAGGAGTTCGCAAAGACAGGCGCCCCCGACGTGAGAAGGCTGCCGTCGCTGATCGTGTGCCCGCCCACGCTCTCGGGCCACTGGCAGCAGGAGATCAAGGCGTACGCCCCGTTCCTGAGTGTCACGTCGTACGTCGGCCCGCCGGCCGATCGCAAGGCCATGAAGGATAGCCTCGACAAAACCGACATTGTTATCACCTCGTACGACGTCTGCCGAAACGACGTCGAGGTCCTCGAGAAGTACAACTGGAATTATGTGGTTCTCGACGAAGGTCACCTGATCAAGAACCCCAAGGCAAAGATTACCATGGCTGTCAAGAGGCTCCCCAGCAACCACCGTCTCATCCTGACGGGCACCCCGATCCAGAACAATGTGCTCGAGCTCTGGTCTCTGTTTGATTTCTTGATGCCGGGCTTTTTGGGCGCCGAGAAGGTATTCCTCGACCGTTTCGCCAAGCCGATTGCGAACAGCCGCTACAGCAAGGCCTCGTCGAAGGAGCAAGAGGCCGGCGCGCTGGCCATCGAAGCCCTGCACAAGCAAGTGCTGCCCTTCCTCCTGCGTCGTCTCAAGGAGGAAGTGCTCAACGATCTGCCGCCCAAGATCCTCCAGAACTACTACTGTGACCTCAGCGACCTGCAGCTCAAACTGTTCGAGGACTTCACTAAGCGCGAAGGCAAGAAGCTCTCCGAGCAGGCCGGCAAGGAGGACAAGGAGGCCAAGCAGCACATCTTCCAGGCCCTGCAGTACATGCGCAAGCTCTGCAACTCGCCGGCCCTCGTCATGAAGCCAGGCCACCGGTCGTACGACGAGACGCAAAAGTTTTTGGCCAGACAGAACACCAGCCTCGAGGACCCGGCGCACGCGCCCAAGCTCACGGCGCTGCGCGACCTGCTGGTCGACTGCGGCATCGGCACCGAGGGGCAGGAGTCATCGGACCCGCTGTACACGCCCATCAAGCCGCACCGCGCGCTGATCTTCTGCCAGATGAAGGAGATGCTGGACATGGTGCAAAACACGGTGCTCAAGAGCATGCTGCCGTCGGTGCAGTACCTGCGGCTGGACGGCGGGGTCGAGGCGAACCGGCGGCAGGACATTGTCAACAAGTTCAACAGCGACCCGTCGTATGACGTGCTGCTGTTGACGACGAGCGTGGGCGGGCTAGGCCTGAACTTGACGGGCGCCGACACGGTCATCTTTGTCGAGCACGACTGGAACCCGCAAAAGGACCTGCAGGCCATGGACCGCGCCCACCGCATCGGCCAGAAGAAGGTGGTCAACGTGTACCGACTCATCACGCGCGGCACGCTCGAGGAGAAGATCCTCAGCCTGCAGCGCTTCAAGATCGACGTGGCCAGCACGGTCGTCAACCAGCAGAATGCCGGGCTGGCGACCATGGATACGGACCAGATCCTCGACCTGTTCAACCTGGGCGACTCGGGCCCGAGCTTGATCTCTGACAAGCCCGCCGCCGGGGGCGGCCTCGACGGCCGCGAGGAGGACATGGTGGACGTCGAGACGGGCGACGTCCGCCAGCCGGGCAAGAAGGCCGCCTGGCTCGAGGGCCTCGGCGAGCTCTGGGACAATAACCAGTACGAGGAGAGCTTTGACCTGGATGGGTTCCTCAAGACGATGCAGTGAGCGCCCCATGGGGGTGGATGCAGTCCGAGCAATGTTTTTTTTTACGGACTGGGATTTTTTACGCCTTGGTTTTTGTCTTTGTTTTCCCGTTGCGCGCTTGCCTACCTTATCGGAGTGTTTTTTTTTTTGCCCAGGCCAGGGCTGCAGGATATCGGGGGCTTCTTAGCAAACCTGATTCGGGTGGTGTCAGGGGTTTTGTTTGGGTGAAGGGATGATGGGGCGTTGGGATGGGCAAAATGGGATGGATGGATGGTCTATGGACGGTGCGGGGGAACGTCTGGCGGTTGGATTGTGTATGAGTGTATGCTGGTGTTTTGTACTTGTAGTAAACTTACTCGGTGGGGGTGATGGGGGGGCTATCGAGTAGTTACTCTACTGTGATTCTTGTGCTGTATGTGACGCTGTCGCCTTCGAACTGACCGAACTCTCGGGTTGAGCAGAAGAAGGGCCAAACTGACCGTGTTGAGTTAGAACGAAGAGCCTAGCTGATTGTCTTGGACCGCAGAGGTAAGAGCCAAGCCGACCCGTTGTGCGAAAACAAAAAAAGAATCTCAACATCCCAGCACCACCGGTCCTAACAAGGAAGAAGCCCAGTCAAGGGAGCTTCCCCTCACCGATCATCCCCAGACCAAACTAGCACCAGCTCGCCACCTACCCGGACATCTGCCCAAAATCAACCATGTTTGCCTCCCTTCCCACCAGCCAAAGTCGAGTATCACTTTTCCCCTCCTCCAGTGATCAATCAACACCTATCCCTACCATCCATCCCTACTGATACCTACCTACAACCCTTCGCCACCTCCCCCTCTGCGACAGCCACACCAAAGGTGAGAAATGGCCGACAATCCCCCGTCATGACCAACTAACCTGCCAAGTGCTCCCCCCGAGCCCACATGGAAGAAGCAAGCTGCGCTGCAAGTGAGCAGTAGATGGAGACCGCGCTGCAGGCGAGGGGCAGATTGCGCTGCAAGTGAGAAGCATAGACACCACGCTGCAGGCGAGAAAAAGCATATCTTGCTGCGCCGCAACTTGCAGCGCACACAAAGCGCAGAAACCCCCAACTAACTACTCCGTAAGCCAACACCAGCCCCGAAGCAACCCCCCTTCCTCCGCCTCCCAAACACGCAGCCCTTGGACAAACCCAAACCCTGAACCAGCCCAACCTCAATCAACCCTGATCAAACCCACACCAACGCCAGCCCCAGACCCAAGCAGACCAAAACAAAAAATCAACACAAAAAAACTACCACTCCTCTCCCCATTCCCAGGAGAGAAGCAAAGAGAGTGTTGGACGAGCTGGGAATCGAACCCAGGACCTTTCGCAGAAGAGGATCTTGACTTTGACATCGCAACCATGCTAAGCGAACGCTCTACCAACTGAGCCACACGCCCTATTTTTTTTCTTCTTGTGGAGAGTGGAGATGGGGGTTGTTGTTGTGGAGGTTTGGGGTGGGATTGCAAAGTTTCGTTGCTTGGAATACTCCATAGGAAAGGAAGAGATGGGTGTGGAGGCTGGGGGGGGAGAACTGCGTCGAGTGGAGTGGAGTGGAACGGGTGTGTTGGGTTTGGGATTGGGGTTGGGTGCGGATGGGGACTTGAATTGGATCTAGTCGGGATGCATTTCGGGGATTAGTTTGAAATGATGGAATAGACCGGGTTGTATCACTGGATGCAAAGAGAGACCAGGAAACAAGATGGAAGGTTCCTCACTGTTGATGACCATGGCCACCACCAAATGTAGTCTAGGATCTTGGGACAACTCATCATTAGCATTTCTTGCCTTCCCCTTTTTCTTACCAAAACGTCTATGAAACCTCCCCGTTCACCCATCAAAGAGATCAACTACAACATCACAAACCATCTAGTTATCCCAACTCATCATCCGCCCACACGTCATCAACATGCCCTCGTATCACCAGCTCTATGCCACCCAACCCCCTTTTCAACACCCGCTAGAACGCCTGCTTGATGCCTCCAGTCCCCAACCCCAACCGCAAGGGAGACAGACCACAACAAGACCAACAACAGCATTCCACTTACATCAACAACCACTACAACAACACGCCTCCACTTACACCCAAACCACGCCACAACCACCAGACACCAACAACACCACGCCACTTACACCCCAAACACAACCACACCCGCCGGAGAAACGACTCCAAACGCTGGCAAAGGCAACAAAATCAACACCTCGACCCCCCCCTCCCCCCACCAACCCCCTTCTTCCTGCCACTCCCATCCACCACCAGCGGCGCCACCTCCTTCTTCATCAGCCTCCCTTCACTCCCGTCCACAATCACCGGCGGCTCCTCTCTTTTCTTTTCCTGTCCACTACCACCACTTCCATTCCCGTAACACCCACCAGGACTGCCACCACCCCCAGCCGACCCCAAAGGCGGCGTCAACGGCCTCGCCAACGAGGTATACACAACCTGCGGCACCACCACCCCGCCGCCCTTCGACCCCGACCCGCGCGAGTTTAACAAACCCAGTGCTTGACCCGACGACCGTCCCGCCTTGCCCGCGCCCCCTCCCTTCCCGCCTCCCCTCCTCCCCGACCTGCCCCCTCCATTCCCACCCCCAACTTCAGCAGGCGACACCCCCTCCGCCAGCCGCGCCTCCAACCTCTTCCCGGTTCCCGCGCCCGCCTCCCTCCCATCGAGCGCGGCAACCGCCGCGGCAGCCAGCGCCGCCGACGAAAACGTCACCAGCGCGGTCCCCCGCGCCCGCCCGTCCTTGTTCATCGGCAGCTCAATCCTCTCCACCTCACCGGGAGTCCCGCCGCCAATGCCGGCGTGTTCGGAGAGCAGAGCCGCTACGACACTCTCCGACAGCCCCTCGCGCTCGAGGTGCAGCATGATGATCTTGCGCTGCTCGATGGCGACGGCGGGGCGATCGGCGCTGCCGTACATGCTTGCTTGGGACGAGTCAGGGCCCCAGCCCGCGCTGTAGCCGGCGGCGTAGGAGTGGCTGTTGCCGCGGGCGGGGGCGGTGGTGTAAGCCGTTGTTTTGTAGGCTGGGGCTGGGGAGAAGCAGGCGAGGGAGGAACTGTAGTGGTACTGCTGGATCGAGGGGGTCGTTGGGCTGGTGACGGTCTGGTATGCGGCGGTCTGGGGGATCACCAGGTGCGGGCTTGTCGCGACCGGCTGGATGAAATCGCGGCCGGTGGCAGTCGCCACTTGGTACACCATGGGGCCAGGTGGCGTAAGAGTCGGGCTAGCAGCAGCTGCTGGCTGATAACCATCGCGGGTGGCGTAGGTGGAAGCCATGGCGTAACCCCATTGCGACTCCGCCGGCAGCGTCATGATGTATGATGGGCTGCCTCCTCCGGCATATTCCGGATAGGGGCTCCCCATTCCTGCTGCGGTTGCTCCCTGCGAGTATGGTTCGGCTTGCTCTTTGCCAGGCGTTGGAGCCTCAAGTTCATCAATGACCCTGCTAGTGTCGCCTCGGAGAATTCTCGCCGCGTGGTAGTCGGTGGCCAGGAGCTTGACGACGGTGCACTGGTTCATGTTTCGCGCGTCCGCTTGGAGCGCACGGTACTCGAGCGTGTTGCCATCGAGGTGCTCTTTTCACGCCTTGTCAGAACCGGTCCAGCTGGGAGCCCGACCTCGACTGCCTTGCAAAACTTACTGAACGCAACCTCAAAATTGGCTCGCCCTCTGACTCTGACAAAGCCGGAGGTGGGTGGGTAGACCTCGGCATGGTCCACCTCGCATGCCTGTGCAGCAAACGCTTTCAGGTCCCTCCTCGTCGTTTTGTGGGCGAGCTACACGGGGTTGGTCAGCCATGCTCCAAGCCCGCGGAGGTGTCTCTCGCATACGTTGGCAACCAGAATGTAGTAGAGCCCCGTCTCGCTCCCCGGGCCCACGGTGAACGTGATGAGGTTCTGGCTGTGGTGTTGATTCCGATGCATCCTGGGCGCTTGGTTGGCTGTCTCTGCGTGCCGTTGACAAGGATGAGCGGACTCGAGGCAGTCCGTTTGGGTTGTTTCCACGATGAGACTGAAGCAGCCCGGTCTAACAACCTCAGGTGCAGGTGAGTTCGTCTCTTTCAAGGAGAAGGAGGGTGCCGTGGGCTGAGCTCAAGATGCCGCGGGGCAACGCGAGGGACCGAATGTTGAGCAAGATTCCTCGCCATCAACAAAGGGCCAGGCGTCCTGACTGGCAGACAGGCCTCCCAGAAAAGGGCCGAAGCTCGCTCCCTGGCGTATCAAGACGAGGCTGATGTCGACGCCCTTGCAACGTTCCACCAGGCTGTAGACGGACAGGCGAGGCAAGCAAGCAGAGGTGGCGAGAACTAAAAGTCCTGTCTCCCACTGAGGGATGAGGGCTGTGGTGGCGGCTGGAGTTTGTACAGAGCAAGGTCGACCGAGGGGCATGAGCTCCTTTGCTGGTTGGACCAGCCCGTGGGTGCGTGGCGAGGAAGGGCTTGGGAATCAAGACTTGGGTGGGAAACCCGGGCGGATGGTCCAGTTGTCGTTAAAAGGGGCGCGGTACCCGGACGACCTCACACATCAGCCGACCGGGCTTGCCAGAACGGGCTCGACCGCACCCCATGCCCAGCCCTCAGGGATATCAGATCGCTGGGCCTGCCGGGGAGCTCGGCTGGCCCACGAAACCAACAGATCACATTTTGACGATATGCCGGGCCCTCGAGTCTCGAGACGCACACAGCCAGATTGGGAAGAACCGGGCAGAAACCGGTCAGTGCCGCTGAGGTGGTGGCTGCTCAGGCTGTGCAATGGCGGCCCATCCCGGCTCCGAGATGCATCGACGGCATGACGGAGATAGCTGAACCCCAAACATGCCGATCCAACCTCGCATCCATAACCGGACAGAAAACCTCACGGCCCGAAAATATAAGAAGGGCACACCGGAGACGATCAACAATAAAAGAAGGAACTTTGTTCGGCCAGAGTGGCGTCAATCTTTCTCCCCCGACAACCCCCCCAGTCAGTCCAATCAGCCCTGTCAACCCGGGAGGCGGTCCTGGGGATGGCCTGGGAGAGGGGGGAAGGGGGCAGTCGGGGAGGCCTGAGGGGGGCGCGGGTCCGGCACTGGGAAGGTCCGTGGTGCCAACAGGGTTGGTGTGGAGGGTGACTTTTTTTTTGCGGCTTCAGCACATCGAATGTCGCATGCAGTTTGTTGGTGATGGGTGTGGCCCCAAGTGTGTGAGAGACCCAAGGGAACACAGACAGGGGCGAGCCGCCTGCAGACCTGCACAAGCGCAGCCATGACGGCGCCGGGACGAGGCCACTCATCAAGTGGAACTCTCGTAACCTCGACGCCACCCATGCCAGCGGCCACATCGGCGGTGCCTTGTCGCCAGGCGCGCGCTTCCATACGCACTATCGACTATCGGGGAGATGGAGTGCCACTGCAGTGGGTGGTGGACACTCACCGCCAGCCAGACACTCTGCGGGTTCCCGGCTCATCCCGGGGCGTGGGTGGTGGTCTTCGTTCATGGGCATCTGTAATGGTCTGCCGCCCGGCAGAAGTGATAATCATCCGGGCTCGCGCCACCTCGTCGACGGAGGGTTTCCAGATGTGTGGGTTGGAGGCTGGCCGGGTAGTTGCACCGGAAGAAAGCGTCCGGCCGGGGGGGGGCCGGAGGGGGTGGTCTGGGCTGGTTATCCCCCGAGGACTCGCCCGTTGACAGTTCTGCCGCGAGGCCAAGCGGAAACAAGGCTCTGGCTGTGCGGGGGAGGGGGGCTTCACCGAGAGAATCTCGAGAGCAGCTTGGGGGCCAAAACCTGCACCAGGCTTGCAGGCACCAAGTCGGTGCCAAAATAGCGGCCCTCCATCGGCCGAGGCAACGACCAATCGAAAGGGGGATCTCCGGATCGAAATCTTGGGGCAACGTGAGGGGCGGCTGACCCCCTGTCCCCTAACTAAAAGGGAAAAGCAAAGAATAAGCAACAAGGTCATGAGCCGGCCGCCTCCCGCTCGATCGATTCGCCAAGAGCGTGCATTTTCCAGGTTGAGGCTTTGCTTTCTCAATGGGTCGAGGCTTGCATATGTACGGATCGCAGACTTGCATGGCGAGTTCAGCAACCCGGCGTTGAGGATCCAGCGGCACCTCAGCCGGGTTCCCCGGTGGCCCTGGCTCCTCTGTGAGACCACAACCAGGCTCCCGGGATTTGGGAGCGACTGAGACAGACCAGCGCGTCCAGCGTGCCAGGCAGATCACATAGGGGGCAGGGGGGCGAGCTTGAGAGAGGGCCTTGGGGCAGCGCAGGCAGGTTAGCGTTTGTGGACAAAAGTATCCTCGAGCTCGCTATCATCATCGTCCTCTTCCCCGAGGTCTGGGGCTTCGGGTCGGGGCCCGGCGGCCGGGACCAGATGAAGGGGCGATTCTTCGACCGGGTTAAACCCCCCTGATGACGG